TTATTACTCAATATAACTAGGAGATATTAAATGTCACTGACTTAGGTACTTGGCAAGTATTGTTTATTTAATTCTTCTACAATAAATTCATTTAATCCCATGAAGTAGATACCTTAGTTTAGGAAAATGAGAAGCCAGAATTTCAGTGACATGTTTGAAGTCACAGAAGGGGTAAATGATAGAAGTTTTGAATGCACAAACTATAATCCTCTTTTTAAAAATTGCTGTAAGGCACATATGCTTGCTAGAGAGAGATGTGAGTGAGAGAAAGGAGAAAACACTCCCCCAACAGAGCTAGCCATATTGCAAAACTTTCTCCTCCATTTTTCCATCCTGTCAGGATTTGGGGCATGCATGCATGTGTACACACACACACACACACACACACACACACAGAGCATGTTTTTCAGGCCTCTGGGCTAGGATTTGAACTGTGGAGTGACCATGTGAGATCTTGCTCCCTTAACCAGTAGGCTACAGGGCTGGCCCCAAACCACAATATTAATCATTAAATTCCTGTGAGGCTTCCCCAATGCATCTAACCCCTAACACTCAGAGCTTCTAGGTCTTGAATGTATATGCAAATCACTAGACCTTGCTACAAAGCTTATTTTAACGCAGATCTGAGAGGAGCCAGGGATTCAGCATTTTTAACAAGCTGGCAGGTGGCACTAAGGTGTTGGTTCAGGAACCACACTTTCAATAGCAAAGCACTAGACCTCTGAATTTGTAGGATATTTTTCCAGAAGCCAAAATTAAATTTCAAAGATTAGTTGGATCATGCTCGGTTAAGTGGTAACAACTAAAAGATTTGAGTACCTCAGTCCAAGAGAATTGCAATGAGAGATTTTTCCAGACTTTGCTAATGAAACTAGACACATCTACCTCTGAAGATTTAAGTGAGGTGATAACCGTTCACTCTGTAATTGTGATGTAAACAGACTGGGTGCTTTTAAAACAATAGAGTTTTATTTGGCTTATAAAATTCTGGTGTCTGGAAAGTCCAAGAGCATGGGGCTGGTTTCTGGCCAGAAGCAGAAAGGTCAGCAGGTGCATGCAGAGAAACAGGCAGACCTGGGGCAAGCCATCTTCTTTTAATAACATCCTGATCACTCTTGGGAACGAAGTCCCTTTCATGAAAGCTAGAATTTACTCTGTCTTGCCAGACATCATTAATCTATTGATAAGGGTGATGCCTCCTTGATCCAAACACTGCTCATAAGGCCTCACGTCTTAAAGATCTCACCATCTCCCAATGCCATGACACAGGGGAACAAATTCCCAAACATGAACCTTTGGGAGACAAACCATTATCTAAACCATAGTAATAACTTTGATTATAAGATGTAGTCTAGTATGTAATGAATAACTGTGCTTTACAGACTATAATACAGTTTTTTCATAACTATTAAATAGCTGGTCTTTACAGTAGACTTAAGTGATCTGGGAGTATAATCACTACTTTTGAGGAAACAGAAGAACAAGGCAAGTGGCTACCACCACAGGTCACTGAGGCAGCAGAACAACAAACATCCAGCCTCCCCAGGCCATATCTAAATGATTTTCTTTTCTTCCATCAGCTGACCTTGGTCTGGGGGCCATTAATTAGCTAAAACTAAATAGAGGCAAAGAAATGCTAGTACTGAAACAGCTAAAACACAGCCATATTTTGATTTTGTTTTAAATATACAGGTAAGTCCAAAATGACTGGGCATCATGAGGAGTAATCAACTATTTCACATTAAGAATGGCCTGTCTCAATGTATCATTTTATGAGCTGGTGTTTGTATCATTTACTTCCCAGAAAGGTAGGCTTGGTGGAGCTGTTAAGAGATTGGCTGTTTAAACTCTCATGTTTATTTTATTGGAACTAAGTATGTTGAAAATATTTTCTTCATATGTATGTATGAAGAAGAAATTTTGTACTGAGAGCTCAGAGTTGGTTTCTATATGCCAAGTGCATTCACTATTTTTAGAAGGCTAATATTGTCAGACAGAAAAGCTCTCTAAGTTACTGTGGAGACAAAGCAATGAAGATAAATCAAGAAATGTTGTCAATCACTGGAAGAAGAAAATACCAGAACTTCTACATGTAAAACATTTCAGAACAGACAGCAAAGATTCATATCAAACCCAGTCCTTCTGAACATTTTGATAATTTCTAATGTTATTTTTTCCCTGATAATTGACAATAGCTCCACTCTTGAAAGAAATGCTCAAGTGAAACAGTTATCTTTGTTTTCACCCCCACCTCGTTTTGAATAACTTTAAGAATAATAAAGGATTTATTCTGAAAACTTTTTTTTTCCATCAAGTGTAAACTTACCTCTAAAACTAAGGACTCTGTTTACTCTGAGCCATACTAGCACATTGGAGTGTACTGAATCACCATCAAGATATGCTAAATTAGCTGTGTGAGGTTTACATGGAAGCTGAGAACTATGGTGCTCCAATTACACAGAGCAACAAAGGCTATTACTCCTTCACTGCATGATAATGGGTAGGGAGACCAATAAAGAGTGTAAAGATGGGTAAACTGAGATGCCCAACCCCTTGAAGCCCCAACACAGCTTAATTATTTCATGTTAGCCTTCAGGATAAGTAAAACAACTGTAACAATAGCTGCCTAATTAGAAAAGAAAAAAGTTCAGGCAGAGAATCATTGATAATAGTTTTCTCCTTTCATTAATTCATGCAGGTGACTATTTCAGAAGATGTGGGTAACACGCGGATGAGTCGATGATATGGCTTTTCCCTACCTCTCTCACTTCTCCCATTGGCTGCTCCTTCAAGATACTCTGATCCTCTCTCTTCATTTCCTTTAAGGTACTAAACTCCTCCCAGCTCTCGATCTTTCGACTGAGGCCTCTGTCTCCTGCCCACAGTAAATGTCCCAGCCTCCCTCTTGGGTCCCCTTGTGATATATGCTTTCACAGTGGTACATGACCTTTCATAGTGGTGCAAGTGATACTTTCAGGGGCCAATTAGTCTTACTCTTTATTTGATCTTTTCTATTAAGCTGAAGGCACTAAGCATAGGGATTTTGCCTACTTACCATTGTATTCTTATCCCTATTCACAGTGCTTGACTTCTAGAAGTTTGATACATGTTTGTTAGATAATGGTTCATAAACTTGAATATAAACTCCTGAGATATTGGTCACATTTATATTTTTACAAGGATGAGTGAATAACACTTTGTGCATATGGAGGTAACTAACATGTGTTGAATTTAAACATTTTAAAAATAGAATAATTTCCAAGAAGAACTTGAGACTTGTCCAGATATGACTGTGAAGAAATTCAACTCTAAGACTTCTGTGATGAGGACATACTTCATTTTAGATTTAGTGCTTATTTTGAGTGATTTGAATAAAATATTTATCGGCTATGACTTTTAAGGATATATTGACTAGTATAAGGAACATGATACTTGGTTTCCCTCTGCATAGACACATCAAAAACAATAGAAATGCGTATGGCTGGCCAATCTTAACCTGCTTTTCCAGGTCATTCACAAGTTGCATGTTGTGGAAAGTAACTTTTTCTTAAGAGTATAATTAAATGTTTTGTTATTCACTGCTATAAAATTTTCTGTAATTTTAAAATTTGTATAATGTTTGTGTTAGGTTTTTCTTCTTCTTTTTAATCCTGTTGATCACTGAAATATTGTCACATAGATTTCTTGTATTTACATAAGAAAGGAGAAGCTGGGTACTTTCACTGAATCCTTTAATTATTTTATTTTTTATTTAACAGCTTAAGCTTATCACCTGAAAGCTGCAATACAACGGGCTGTATGAGCAAAAACCATCCAGGTAGGATCACCATGAAGTCTTCTTTTCAACAAGTAAATACCAAGTTGTGGTTCAAACTATACTTGGAAGAATAGTTTGGCAAAAAGATGTTATTTTTGAGAAGGCTGGCATGAATTCTTCATCTGGGACTGTTATGGAAAGAAGCTATGGATGAAATCTTTTATTAAGTGCTCAGGAAGAAATGCATTATTTCCTCCTAAAAATGTTTGGCCAAAGCTATTACTTTGGTTGATGTATTCTTCATGGGTTTAGATTTCAGCAGAAACTAGCTCACATAGGCTCACACATTTTTGTTTTACTCTCCTCATAAAAAGGGTTTATGGGAACCAAAAGAAGACATAATAAAATATTCTACTCCCAAAAGGCCAATAATCTTTTTTGTAAAAAAATCAGTTCAAAAACTATCTTTATGGTTCCTCTGAACTTATGATAAGGAATATATCTAGGAACAAGGCCTCAAAATTTGAGCTGTGTTCCATTGTTTGCAGTTACCTTGGATTTTAACTAGATGTGCAAGTTGACTTCTGACCATGGGGAATCCTCTCCATGCATGGATTATGGATTGTTGAGGCCATGGCAGATAACCAGTTCCACAGAAGCAAGTTCATGTTCTTCTGAGGAAGATCCATAGCACTGTGGAACAAGGAATATAAATGAGCAATACCACAAAAGACTGCACATTGGGTTACCAAAGTACAACCCTCAAAAGTGAATTCCGAAGGTAGAAAAACTATAAAGAAAAACATTTTTACAAAAATAAAGGGTTTTAAATGGCCTCAGCTAAGAGCACCAGTGGCAATCAGTAGCCATGGCCTATGCTTTTTAGGCATCTGACAGAATCTGTTGAATCCAAGCTCATTTAGTAACTTGTATCAATCTGTTACAAAGTTAAAAAAATATTGTCTAGAGGGGAAAATACCAAATAAAAATATTCAAACTGTAGTAATAAAATATTTGGCCTTTAATCATTTCCAATAAAATTTTAGTTGAAAGCTCCCCCGCCCCCACCCCTAGTCATACATAAACACACCAATGTTTAGAACATTTTATAATGGCCAAAGAGGGATTTACATAGATATGTTTATTAATGAAGCTCATTTTCAAATTAGTTTTTAGTAAGTTGCCTGTCCATTTTAGCCTCAAATCTGCTTCATCCCTCAATCCCTTGCCTGGTGTCTAACAGTTAGTTAATGTCTTGGATCACGAAGAGAGCTTCCTGTGGCACTTTGGGAATGATCTATTTTGGACTTAAATAAGTACAGTTTATAAAGTTCTCGCTCTCTTCTTCAGCCCCCACTAGGATTGACAGAGGCATTTCCAGGGGCAAGTGGTTTTCTTCTTCTCTCTGCTCCTCCTCCAGCCCCTCTTCCTCATCCTCTTCTTCCTCCTCCTCCCCCTCCTCATCCTCCTCTTCCGCTCCATCCTCCTCCCCTTCGTCCTCCTCCTCAGCTTCATCCTCCTCAGCTGCATCTTCCTCTTCCTCAGCTTCTTCCTCCTCCTCAGTTTCTTCTTCCTCCTCCATCTCATCTTCTTCCTCTGCTTCATCCTCCTCTTCCTCGCTCTCCTCCACCCTTCCATTCCAAATATCCTCTTCATACTCCTCCTCCTCCATCTTCTGCTCTTGCTCTTCCTCTCCCTGCAGCAGCTGCGGGGTGGAAGACTGGTTCTCCTCTGGAGCAGGACTTAAGGCTAGAGAGGGATTTTGCGCATAGCCATATAGAGCCTGCAGCGCCGCATCTTCCTCGCCGCCACTAGGGGGCGCGTCGTTTCCGGAAGAACAAGCCGGGGAGGCCTGAGCGCCCGCCTGCGCCCGCTGCTGGCGCTCCAGTTCCTCCTGCTGCTGCATGTCTTGGTAGATCTGGTCCATGATGAACTGGGTGGTGTTTGGCGGCGCTTGCATGCCAGGCGCCCTCCACCCGTACAGGTTGACCGGGCGCAGCAGCGTGCTCAGATCCACTGGCGGACTCCTCGAAGATGAGCCGCGAGGTTGGCGGCGCAGGCCGCGGCCCCTGCGGCCCCAGCGCTTCTTCCTGCCAGGGGGCCTGGCCCAGCCAGGGTTCCAGGGCCCGCCCCAGCAGGAGCAGCAGCAAAGACAGAAGGGGTGCAGGCCATACATCCGAACCACTCGGCCGGGGGGCTTCCGGAATCCTGTGGGAGGTGGGTGCCAGGGAGCGCACCAGCTCCCCCAGTTAAAGTTCAGTGCCCAAGCGGGTGGTTGGGGTGGTTGGAACCAAGGGCCCGAGCCGTACTGGTACTTTGGCTGTTTCCTCGGGGGCTCATACTCGACCTTGGGGCCGTAACCTTGCCGGCGCTTGTAAATTGGAGCACCCCTGCGCTTGCGGTGGCAAGACCGCCAAGGACGTAAAGGGGAAGAAGATGCCCAACCGCCACCCAGGTTTAGAGGGTCTTCTCTTTTGTCGAGGGTCTGGGTCATGGTTCAGGGAGCTCCGGAACGTCTAAATGGTATTGTCCTTCTTAGAAGCTGTCGTCAGGATTGGCCAGATGCAACGGTCTAAGGAGCCTCGTCACCCTGTGTCTCGGCACAGCACCTCGTGTCTGCCGCTGGGATCACACCTTCTTCTGCAGGAGGCCCCTCTCTTCTCGCTCGCTCTTCTGACTTAATCTCTTGTCCTTCGCAGCACCTGAGTTGTCTCGCCCAGGTGGGTTGGGTGGGACTGGGACTGGGTAAGGATGGTGGGGGAGGAAGGTGTTGGAAGGCCACACGCAGCGAGACCCACTCCCGGGTCCCAAACACACCCGCCTCCACCGAGGCTTGGGCTGGGGACAGGGGAGGCAAGGGTTGCGTGTTACCTTGAGGCTCCCTCTCAACCCAGGTGCTTCACCGTCGCAGTCCTGGCTAGACTGTGGTGACCGGAGCAGCCGCAGCCTTTAAATACCTGTGGGGCCCCCCCCGCGTGCCCCCTGCGTCCTTGGTTACCCAGGACGACAGCCAATTACAGTCCAGGTCTCCTCCCTCTGCTTGGAAACTGGGTTCTGGCGGAACCCCGTGTCAGTGAACGTTCTTAGGGACTTGTGACGGAGTTGTTGAAGGAGGTGGAGAGGGGTCATGGCTGGGTTTGTGGTACTCAACTCAGGGGACCCTTGAGGCAGTGCCCATGAATTCGTTGTCACCTTGTAGCAGGGGGATTTGGAAAAATGGACCTTTGGCTGAACCCTGGTGGGGTTGGGCGAACTTGTGTATTTAAAAACCCATATTTTATACCTTTGGGGAGGTCTACGGGGTAAAGAACTCTGTTTGGAAAATACCCCCACTCTACTTTAAGGCCGATACCAACCCTTTAACTCCTGGGAGTCGGTATTCGTCATATGTAAAACAAGACAAAACATTGTTGCGTCCGCTGACAGTGTGCTGGTGGGCATGGCGTATGGTCCTCACTCCCACCCTGAGAGGGTGGTACTGCTACCACTTTGCACAGATCAAGATACCGAGAGGTTAATTTGTCCACGTTTGTAGAGTGAAAGGATTTCAGGCTAGTGTTTAAGCCTAAAACATTTGTTGTGTCCACTGACAGTGTACTGGTGGCCATTATTTTCATCATATTTAAATACTTCAGAGCACTTAAAGGATATGCTATGGTATTCATAAAGACATTATACCCTGTATCTGGTGCAAAAATAGTCATCCTCACCCTTGTGCTCTTTTCTTTTTTGACTTGGTACAGACATCAACCTGCTAGTAGGCTTAATCCTAGAGAAAATAGTCCCAGAGCATATCCCTTTATGACTTTCTTGCTGAGAGTGGAATTGTGCAAAGTGGAACATTGTCCTCTGGGAATCTCAGTCTATACAAGCCCCCATTAACTGCTGCAGAATCAAAATGTGCAAAAGCCCTACAGCTTGCAAAGGTCATTTATGCATTCCTGGTTGAAAATTAAGAACAGTGTGTGGGCTCTTGGATCAAGACTCCAACCATAGCCTTGGGACCTGTAGACCTCCCAGGCTTCATTCTGTTTCATTTGCTCTCGGGTTTGCTTCCGACAGTCTTTCTTGACTCAAAGTACAAAATGCTGACAATTTTATCCAATTGTATCCGTTTCTGCATATACACTCATACCTTTGGCAGTTACTTTAACCCATTTCTGCTTAACTCAGAATGAAATGGCGATAGTTCAGATTTATTTTTCTAGGGATGCTTATGTTAGACAACACTGGATTTTAATAAAATGCTTTAGAAATTGATCATATGGAGCCAGCCTATGGCCCTGGTGTTTAAGGCAGCTGGAGCACATATGGCCCATCCATGGTCTGAGTCCTGGTAGCTTGAGTGCACGTGCAGTGTGCCCAAAATCCCAGAAGGAAGAAAAAATGAAGCAGGATTGTGGTGTGACCATATCCCATGGTGGATGCTTTCTTACCTTCTCTCTGACAAGCCTATGTGCCCTCGTGCAAAACAAAAAATAAAAAAAAGGAAATTAGCCATATTGCTGTAGTGGAATTCCCATTAGTTTCCTTTATTTATTTATTTATTTATTTTTTGTGACAAAGATGACTCACTGGTTTTACATGTAATTAAGGATGTCATTTTTAATCAGTTGGTATGACCTTTATACAAATAATGGTGGCTTTATATACTTTTTTGAAGATCAGAAATACATCCTATTAGTTCTCCTACTTAAATAAAAACATGAACTTATTATTAACTTTTCCCACTCATAGGAGAAATAGCAGACTATGATTTGTGATTTAGGCTTTTTTCTAGTATTTGAATTATATTACAATTTTTCTTATGTGCACTACTAGTAAATCACTCAAGATAATGCCCTACCTGGCCATCTTAAATACAACAATCAGAAGTTCAATGAAGGGGATGGGATGGTAGCATGGCACTAACTCAACACTCTGTGAGACTGACCCACATGGAAAGGATCTGGGTTCACATTGAGAAACCTCCCTGAACATAGCAGACACGTGGGAACCCATGACCTGGGGCTGGCTGAGGCTGAGGTTGATTGCAATACGAAGATTGTTGGGAGTACCTGTCTCTGTCTGTCTTTCTCGCTCATGGAAGGAATAAACCTAAAGAATAATCCAGTTAAGGACTTTTTAAAACCACATTGGGGGACCAGCACATGGTGTCAAGGTTACTTGCTGGACTCCCACATGGCTGATTATGGTTTCAGTCTCAGATCCAGTGGCTTGAAACACACTGGGCACATGTGTGCACACATCCAATATCCTGAGAGGAGACTGGAGGAGGAAGGATTGCAGTGTGGCTATCCCCGATGGGTGGTGATTTCTCGCATTCTGCCTCTCTGACTCTTTCTTTCTCTCTGGTGGGTGTATGCATCTTATAGCAAAAAATCTCTCAAAAATAGATAGATAGATAGATAGATAGATAGATAGATAGATAGATAGATAAAATAATTATTTTTATAAAACACAGGGAACCAGCAGTTAGCGTAATGGCTATGTCGCTGGACTCCCACGTAGTCGACTGTGGTTCGTGTCCCGGACCCGGTGGCTTAAAACTCACGCCGGGCGCGTGTGCGTGCGTGCCCAAGATCCTGAGAGGAGAATGGAGGAGAAGGGATTGCGGTGTGACCATCCCCCCTGGGGGGTGATTTCTCGCTTTCTGTCTCTATGTCTCTCTCTGTCTGTCTGGCGAGCGCACGCGCCCTACAGTGAAAATCTCTCAAAAAAAAAAAAAAAAAACACATATGGGATATTTTTAATTTGCGGAGGAGTATGCACTTGCCAGAGAGAGACAGAGAGACAGAGAGGAGGGAGAGAAAGAAAGTGCCCCCAGTAGGGCATAGTCACGATGTAACCCTTTCCCTTTCTTCTCCATTTCTTCATCTTGTTGGAATTTGGGGGAATATATTCCCATGTATCGGGTGAAGACATCTTTTTATTTGACCCATCTTCTTTAAATACTGCAAAATTAAATATTCTGATTCAGTATTACAACACGTCTACCATGTTACATTTGTTTTCTGTTGCCACATAATAACCACAAACTGGATTGCTTAAAACAACATATATTTGTTATCTCAAAGTTCCCATGTGTCAGGGGTCCCGGAGAAGCTTACCTGTGTCTAGTACTCAGGATCTCAGCAGACTGTAATCAAGGTGTCAGCTGGCTGAGTTCTCATCCAGAAGCTCAATTCGGGAAAACCCATTCCCAAGATCATTTTATGTTACTGGTGGGATATATTTCCTTGTGACTCTAAGACTAAGGATCCTGCCTTTGTGCTGACTGTTGGATAGAGGTGGACTTCAGGACTTAAGGTCATCCACAAGCTCTAGGACCAATGGCAGTAACAAGAAGCTGCCCGCAGTTCCTTGCTATGGGCTTCCACAATGAGGCTGTTCACTTCATCAAGTTAGCAAAAAGACTCTCCTTAGTTTAATTTATTCTTTCTTGTTTTTATTTTTATTTTTATTTATTTATTTTTTTTTGCCATAGAGCACATGTGCTTGCCAGAGAGAAACAGAAAAAGAAAGTGAGAAATCACTCTCCAGGGAGGGATGTTCACACCACAATTCCTTCTCCTCCATTTTCCTCTTCTCGTAGGATTTTAGGCATACATGCATATCTGCCAGGTGTGGTTATTAAGCTGTCAGGTCTAGGACTTGAACGACGGTTGGCCATATGGGAGCCCAGCACCTTAGTCACTATTCTACCTGCTGGCTCCAATAGCCTTAGTTCTTTATAGCAAGATGTAGATATGGATGTAGGTGTAGATATAGATACATGCATGCACTGCACATGCAGATGTGTGTATTGTAATCACGGACTTAACCTTTGTGCGTTCCATCATCTTTACTGTACCCTATTGGTTAGAAGCAAGGCCCAAGTCGCACTGGCACACATGGGTACATTTGAGGAAGGACGGTTGTACACAGAATTTGAACCCTGGGAAGCAAGAAATCATTGGAGGTTGCCTTATGATTTGTTTGCCACATAAAAGAAGTAAATTTAGTATATATCCTTTTCATATTCATTAATTACAACTTTATTAGGAAGGTTTTTTTTTGAGTTTACTTATTTTGAGATTAAAGAGAGGAAGGAAAGAAGCAAAGAAGGAAGGAAGGAAAAAAGAAAAGGAAGGAAGGGGTGCAGGCAAACAGGCACCCTCAACAGAGTCTTACACAACAATGCCACCAACCTTCCCAGACAGCGAGGATCATGGCACACAGTGTCTACTGGCTGACCTGTGAACCAAACCCTGACCTTCTTAATCAGATGCTGGCATTTGACATTCCAATACATACGTGATCACATAGATTATGCTATGCTTTATGCTGTGCAGTATTTGGTCCTTAACTCGAAAATACACTGCAAGATTGCTGTTAGTTTTATTGTGCATTGGTGTGACTTGAATGAATTTGAACACTGGATGGCAGTAGTAGTTCATTCAAAATTCAGTCAGCAGTCATCCCCTACACACCGCAAACTATGAGAAGTAACCACTGTATTTTGTATTTTATCATAAATTCCAGTTTTAAACTATTCCAGGTTGCCAAGTATCAATTACCCTTATTCTGGTACAGTGAAATTGAACATATTTATTCAGTTTTAGCATTTTCTTTTATTGGCTTTCAAATAGCAAACCTGAACTAATTAAACTTTTAAATAAAATTCTTCACAGAGAATTTTGGATGTGCTTAATATAATTGGTCAGGTAAATTAAATTTAACAACATTGTTTTAGATCCATCTGTGTAACTAATGCCGTGCTATGGGATACAACAGTAAATAAATAACTATAATTTATGTCATGCATTGTCAAAAACTTGCCTTTTTCCACCACAAAGGCATCCACATACAGAACTGTAAGATCAAAAGGTCCTTGCCATGTCATGGTCACAGAGGCTAAATACAAGATTGTAAGTCTTTCTAGCTTTTCATAGGTGAATAGATTCAAAATTACTCACTGCTCTTTCTTGATGATTTGGGAAGTTGTGGGGTTGGTTTGAAAATTTGTGAAATGTATTGTACATCACAGAATACCATTATACTATTTGGCCATTTATGAATTCTCAGATCATTTTAGGTAAATTATGGTGAACAGGGAGTTAGCTATGTGATAACTACAAAGACAATGTTTCTACAGATTTAAAGAGAAGTAATAATGCCAGTTTTGCACTCATAATAGTACCATGTGTAGATATTTTTCTCTATCACCATTTGAAAATAGTGAAGACTTCCTAGCAACTCAATATATCCGGATGACTAATATAACATATTATAATCATGACTTCTGAAAAATGTGTGTACTCGCTAATGATTAGATTGCAATTATTAGTCAGGACATATTTGCTTATACATAGTTTTGTTTGTTTGTTTTCATTTGCCAGAAGGTCCATGTAATGTTAGAGAGAGAAAGAGAAAGAGAGAGAGAAAGCTAAAAAGAAAGTCATTCCACTGGCCCTTCTCCATCTCTCCCTTCTTGTGAGATTTTGGACACACACACACACACACACACACCTGGCATGTTTCTCAAGCCACCAAGTCCCCAGTTTGAACTTCGAGGTTGGCCATGTGGGATCTAACTACCTTAACCAGCAGGCTGCAGGCTGGCCTAATAGTTTTTGTTTGTGTTATGTTTTCTTTTTATTTATTTCTTCCATGAGCGAGAGTGACAATATCCCCGCCAGAGTCCTATGCCACATCCGCCTGGGTTACTTATGCTCAGCATACCCAGGGAAACTCAAAACTCTCGAGGCAAACTCAGAACCTTCCCATTGGGGTCAGCCTTACAGAGTATCACATTTTACCACTGTGGCACTGTCTAGTCCCCGATTTCAAATCGTTTTCAAGTATAATGTATTCTGGAGTGAGATAAAGCACTTTTCTTTCTTTCTTTCCTTTCTTTCTTTCCTTCTTTCTTTCTTTCTTTCTTTCTTTCTTTCTTTCTTTCTTTCTTTCTTTCTTTCTTTCTTGACAAATAACCTGTAGAATTTAGAGAAAAATAAACATGTGCCTTAACTGAATAGGGGAAATAAATGGAATTGTTAAAGCATATGTATTGTATCTAACCAAAGGGATGTTTTTAAATGATCAGTTAAGAATATAAAGATTCTGAAATGGCCATTTGATTATGGTATGGTTAGTGCCTAGATGGTGGCATGGTAGCTAAGGAAGCTGGATGCCACATGGCCAACTACATGGTTCAAGTCCCATACCCAGTGTCTTGAGAAATATACCAGATGCATGTGCATGTGTGCATGTGTCCAAAATCCCAAAATGAAGGAGAAATGGAGGAAAAGGTATTAAGTTATGACCATCCCCCATGAGGGGGTTGCTTTCTTTCTTTCTCTCCTCTCATTCTCTCTCTGGCAAGCACACACACTCTCTGGCAAATTTTTAAAATAGAAAATATGACATCGTTAGAAAGATTACTCAAATATTATCACATTCTCAGGGTGTAGTATTGTGGCACTTGATGGTTGGGTGGTTATTCTGTTTCAAGCTTTTCGACTTTGAGGTACACAAATTCTGATTGAACATATGCTTAGTTTTCCTCTATAGGTTTGAAGCAAATTAACATGTACCTTTTGTTATTAAAGACATTAAACTGAAACAAGAAACTGTTTATGCATCTAAATTGGAGACACATTAGAGCAAAGCTCTCTAATTGTTACATTAGAGAATTTTGAATTTAGCTATAGTGTCTCTGAATAATGGAATATAACAAATGATGTGAAGTGATGAGAAAAAAGATAATTTAGACATAGAAATATATTTGACTAAAAGACTGAGATACTTGAAAGTGTATATATGTACTTATATATATACACATGTATTTATATATGTGTTGCTTTTAAATATTGGAGTTGTGTTGACAATTTTCTCATTTTTAACCTTTTTAATTTGGAAAAAGACTATACAACAATAAACAAGTTTGAAATTAAACTATGTTGTATTTTGGGACCAGCAGGTAGTACAGTGATTAAGGCCCTGGACTCCCATATAGCAGATGACAGTTAAAGTCAGACCTAGTAGCTTGAAAATTAAGCCATGTGCACATGTGTCGATGCCCCAAATCTCATGAGGAGAATGGAAGAGAAGAGATTGTATTGCAGCCATACCCCTGGTGGTGGGAGAGGGGTGATTTCTCACTTTCTCTCTCTCTGTGTCAGCAACAAGGGCAAGAGTCTTATAACAAAAATCTCTCTAAAAATTTTTTTTAAAAAAGAAATTAAATTGTTTCATGATGTTTAGACGATCATGCACTCTGCCACAGTAGTGGTAAAATATAAGTAGATAAAATATCTTTGCATGGCATTTTACTAACATTTATTAACTCGTATTTAAAATAGTAATCTTTAATCTAGAATTCTACTTCTATGAATTGATCTTTAGAGGCCTTCTCACATGTACATGTAGCATTATTTATGTCGAAGTAAGTGTATCCTTTGAAGTTTTGATATAAATGCAAATATGTGTATCCACCCGAGGACTGATTCATGACCTTCACAGCCATAGAGCTATATGTGCTGATAGGGGAATATCACCAAGAAATACTTTAACGCAGGACAAGGAAGGTTCACAGTAGGGATTATCTTTTGCCCTTAAAAATTCATGTGTACATGTATAAACACATACATAGTAGTGATATGTGTACTTGAAGCACATGTGCATATACACATGCACAAATATGTGCAATAAAGGAGAAATTACTTATGTGGAAGATTTTGTTCCTCATGAAAAACCTCTTAAAGATATGCAAGAAACCAGTATTTCCAGGAGCAGATCTTGAAGTATTACATCTGGAAGAAAATTCACCTTTCATTGAATACTCTTGTTGCCATTTGGTTTTTAATCATTTCCCTGTATTATGATTATAAATTTTAGAATGATCAACTGTCCTTGGAAAGTATTCTTTAACTTCTCTAGCATGAGTGTCATATCATCTGTACTTTCCAGGTTATTTATTTTTAAATTTTGTTCAAACTTATTTTTTATTGTCAGAGGGCACATGTGTTCATCTGAGAGAGAGAGAGAGAAAGCACCCCCACACACACCATGGATAGAGCATGGTCGAGCTGCAATTCCCCTCCTCCATTTCTTTATTCCATGATGATTTTAGGAATGCACACACATGCACCTAGCATGTTTCTCAAATCACCAGAGCTGAGATTTGAACTGTGATAGGCCATGTGGGATCTGACTTCCAAAACACAGCACTTAGCTATTTTACTATGAAGAAGGCCCTATATTTTCTATTTTTTTTTCTTTTTCTTTTTGCACAGGCACAGAAATACACTAAGTAACTAGTCATTTTACTGAAGGTCTAAAATGAGTAGACAGGTTGTTAAGATGATGAAATGTTATCATTTGAAAACTGAAGGTTATGGGTATTTTTGTTGGATATGTTTATTTGCATTACAATTACAATAAATAGCTCTTCAGAAGCCACTGTAATTTTCTGAGTACATTTATTTTCTTCCTTATGCTCTTTAATGAATTAGGAGGAAAGCATGCTTTAGTAAAAAAAAAAAAAAAGTAATACAAGTAATAGAGAGTATAATCCAAAACATCTAAATGTTGGCAAAATACTTAAAGTGTTCATTTAATTTTTTTTATTATACACTTAATTTGAAATGATATTGGATATGTACCCTAAAATTTGCAAGCTATACATGACTCATAAATGTCTGTGAGATTTTTCTATCACTTAGTTATTCTTTTTCTGTACATCTTGTAGATTACTTTCTAACTCACCTAGTGTTTCTTTCAATTGCTGAATTTTCATCATATTTTAAGACTTAGAGTAGACATTACTAATGCTAACCATTCTGAAATTAGACAAGACTTCCAACAGGCAAACGAGGTAGACACATGTATGCTTGAGGAGTTTTGCTGAGATTGATAGGGTTTCCATCCAGTCGAATGTCTTCTAGTGCTTTACGGATATAAGTCAAATTTTTAACGTTGCAGAAGGTATCTTCATGCATCTGCAGAATGTTGTTATTCTAAAAAAGATGAAAAATAACTTAGAAGACAAGTTGTAACGTAACCATAGTATTGATTAATATTATGGTCCATTTTGCTTCACTCCCATTTTTATTCTTTTGTATTGAACTAAATATGATGTGATATCATATACTAAACAACATCTAGGCAGTGAGAAAAATCAGTGAACAAAATACACATGTTCTTATCTTCTGGAGTGTATATGTCAACAAAGGAAATACAAGAATGTAAGGAAAGAAAAAAAGCTTATTTCCCAAAATAATAAGAAACATAAAAGATTGTGACTGTGAACGTTATAATTTTTAATTTTTTCTCTTTTTTTAGAGGTTTTTGCCATAGGGCATGTGCACTTGGCAGAGAGAGAAAAACAGTGAGAGGGAAAGTGAGAAATCACCTCCCAGGGGGAATGGCCAGATTGCAGTCTCTTCTCCTTCATTCTCCTACTGAGATCCTACTGGTATACTGACACACACACACACACACACACACACACACACACACACACACATGTCTGACATGAGTTTCAAGCTACCAGGTCCAGGACTTGAACTGTGGTCAGTTATGTGGGAGTCCAGTGATGTAACCACTATGACATCTGCTGGCCCCTTTTCTTTATTCCTGTTAGAGTGAACACACAGGTACGTGGCAGTGAGAGAGAGCTAGAAAGAAAGATGAGCAGTCTGGTTACATCACAATGTGGTCTGATCACAGTACGATCCCTTTTCTTCAGTCCTCCAACTCATCTCCTCTTGGGCATTGATAAGTTTCCAGCTGACCAGGCCAGAGACTCAAACCATGGTCACCATGTGAAATTTAGCTTCTCTTAATCACTGCATTATGCCTGTACCACAGAGCCAGCTCTAAAAAGTTATCTTATGGGACAGCAGTTGAGCCTGAGAGTGAAATGGCCAGACCTAGGCCTGAAAAGCATTATGGGAAGAACATCCTAGGCAGAGAAAGCATCAGGTTCAAAGTCCTGAAGAATTAGCATAGAATGTTGCTCTCTAAGCCTCAGTGTGGCTCAAGTGAGCAGATGCCAGGAAGTTAAACAAAGCCTAGCAATGGTTTTTAAAAATTGTTTTATTGCATATATTTCACATATTATAAAATTTATCCACCAGAATGACATAGTTCTACAGTTTTTCATGCATTCACAAATGATGCAATTATCACTACGATCTAATTTTAGAATATTTTCAACATACCCAAAAATTACCGCACACCCATTAGCAATAACCACTCATCCTATCCTCACTCATTTCCTGTAAACTGGTAAATCTGTTTTTCTTTTCTTTCTTTTTTTTTTTTTTTTTTGCCAAAATCTGTGTGTGCTTGCCAGAGAGAGAGAGACAGAGAGATAGAGAGAGAGGGAGAGAGGGAGAGGGAGGAAGCACCTCCCCATGGGGGCATGGTCACATCCTAGTCCTTTCTCCTCAATTTCTCTACCTTGTTGATTTGGGGGCAGGCATGCACATACCCCTAGTGTGTTGTCAAGCTACCTATCTGGGATTGGAACCCTTGTCAGCTCTGTGGTGTCTGGCTACCTTAACCACCAGGCTGTGGAGCCAGCCCTAATCTATCTTCTATTTCTGTGGATATTCCTATTCTAGGCATTTCACATAAATGGAATTATACAATATATTAGGTTAAAAGGAAAGTCATGACATGGGTTTCTATGTTTTACTATGCAAAAATGAATCACAACTTTGCTGATAACCCAATATTATATTTTATGTCTGAGTTCTCTCACTTCATGTTGTGTTTTTAAAGGTTATTCTTGTTGTAGCATGTATTGGTACTACATTCCTTTTTATTGCCTGATATTACCTCATTGTATAGCTATGTCATATTTTTTTTACTCATTCATCAATTAATGAAAATTTAGATTGATTCCAAATCCAAATTTGATTCTCCTTAACCATATTTCCATGGGTCTTATGGATACTTCTATGAACATTTGGATACAAGTTTTATGTCGACATGTATTTCCAATTCAATTATCTTGTTGTATATACCAGGCATCAAATTGCTGAGAGATCTAGTATTTCAATGTTTAACATTGAAGGAACTGCCAAACCGTTTCCTAAAATAGCAATGCAATTTTCACTCCCTCCAACAATATACGAGGGTTCCTATTTTCTCTGAATCCTAATTCATGTGTCTGATTTTTTTTTTTAATTTTAGCAAACAGCATCAGTATGAAGTGGTATCTCTTTAAGGTTTGTTCATTACTAATGTACTTAATTACAATGATATTTGTATACTGATCCTATAATCCACTGCATTGCTGAATTCATTTATTAATCCAAATAGTTTTTAGGGTATCTTTTATGATTTATTTTTTTAGATATAAGATTGTGTCATCTGAAAATAACAAAATGATTTCATTTCCATTTTGTTAACTATTTACTTATTTGTTTACGTGTTGTATTTCATTTTTCCCTAATTGTTCTAGTTAGAACTGTCTTGTGCAGTACTAAATAGAATAGTGAAACAAGCAACCGTGCTCTTTTTTCTGACCTGAGGAAGAAAATACTCAGTCTTTCTCCTTTAGTTATGATGTTAGCTGAGTTTTTGTTTTGTTTTTTTTTTGTTTGTTTTAAGATGCTCTTTATTTTGGGGGGAGCTCTTCCTTATTCCTATATTTGAAGTGATTTTTATAGTAGAAAGGCATTGGGTTTTGTTACATGCCTTTTCTGCATCTACTGAAATAATCATGTGGTCTTTTGTTATATTAATATTGTATGTTTTACTTGTTGATTTTTAGATGTTAAGCTCTTCTTATATTCCTGAGATAAATCCCACTTGGTCATAGTGTGTAATTATTTGTTTTGTTTAGTTAAGAATATTTGCATGAAAATTTATAAGAGATACTGGTCAGTAGTTTTGTTTTTTGTTTTTCTTTTGCTTTTATTTTTCTTTTCTGGTTATATCTGTTCAGTTTTGTTGTGGAGGTATTACTAACTGCATAGAATGGGTTACAGAGTGTTCCCTGTTCTTTTTAAATATTATTTGGAGTAGTTTGAGAAAGATTGATATTAATTCTTTTTTAAACATTTGGTAAAATTGGGGACCAACAGGTGGCATGGTAGTTAAGGCAGTGGACACTCCCACATGACTGACCACGGTTTGAGTCCTGGACCTGGTGGCTTGCTTTCTCTCTCTGTATTTCTCTGGTCAACTTAAAATAAGTGAATGGATAAATAAAATTAACTAAATAATTATTTTTTAAAAAAATTTGGTAAAATTAACCAGTAAATTAATATGGGAGAAGACTTATTTTTGTTTTGTTTGGGAAAGATTTTTAAATGTTAAGCTCATATCTGAGCTTGTTATAAGTCTGTTAAAATCACCTCTTATTCATTAGTTGATTTCAGTAGTTTATATCCATCTGGGAATTTCACCTGTCTTATTCTCTGGCATACAGTTGTTCGCAGTACTACACTTTATCCCTTCTATTTGTGTAAGGCTGGTAGTAATTCTCTCCCTTTCATTCCTGATTTTAGTAATTTGAAACTTAATTTCTAGGTTATTCTAGCTAAATACGTGACTTTGTTGATCTTTCAAAAGAACAAACTTTTATTTTTATTTTTCTATTTTTTAATTCTAATTTTATTTATCTTGTTCTAATTTTTATTACATCTATGCTTCTGCTTGCTTTGGATTAGTTTCTTCTACTTCTACTAGTGTCTTAGGTGGAAGGCTACATTTATAAAAGTGAGATCTTTTTTAGTATAGGTGTTTATAGCAAAAATTTCCCTGTAAGAATTGTTTATCCCTATCCCATAATTTCTCCTGTGTGGTGTTTTTGTTTTTATGTATTTGCTTTTGATTATCTTCTAACTTTCCTGATATTTCCTTTTTAACCCATTGGTTATCAGGAAAGTATATTTTAATATTCATGTATTTGTGAACTTCTCGATTTTTTCATTGTTGATTTCTAATATAACTTTATTGAAATCCAAAAACATACTTCATATGATTTTGATTATTTTCAATCTAGTGAGGCTTGTTTTATGATGTAGAATAGGGTCTATCCTGGGAAATGTTGCTTGTGTGCTTGAGTAGAATATGTATTCTGCTGTTGGTGGTGGAATGTTCTGTGGATGACCGTTAGGTCTAATCGAGTCTCAGTGTTGTTCAAGTCTTTTGTTTACTTAGTTGATCTTATAGCTAGTTGTCCTACCTATTACTGAAAGTCGGATATTGAAGTACCTAATTATGATCAAATTGTCCATTTCATCCTTCATTTCCGAGCTTTTTGGCTTTAGCTATTTGGGCTCTACTGTTAGGTAAGTATACATTTATAAACATATCTTCCAGATGGATTTACCCTCTTATTACAAAATGTTCATAAGGAATAATAAAGATTTAGTGCCTAGTAGCTCTACTATTTTCTTGATAGATGATAGAGATGTGTTGTTAATAATAACTGTGCTTCACGTTTAAGTACTTATCATATATAGTAAAATATAGATATAATAACACAATTTATTAACTTTTTAAAACTATTTAATTTTATTTATTATTACTATTTTAAAATTTGCTATAGGGTACATGTGCTCACCAGAGAAACAGAAAGAGAGAAAGGGAAAGTGAAAAAAGCAGGCTGCCAGGTCCAGGACTTGACATGTGGTTTGCCATGTGGGAGTCCAGCACCTTAACAACCAAGTCTCCTGCTGGGCCCCACACTTGATTAACTTTTATATGATTTAATATTCCTAGCCATCCTATGCAGAAGATTATCTCTTTATTCCAGATGAGAAATCTGAGATACAGGGAAAACAGTTATTAGGTCATATTGGGACTAGAATTTCAATTCAGGGAACATGCTTTTGCCTCAGCTTTTATTTTTAATTGCTATATTATATCGTGGAAAAAAACTTGGCAAATGAATCATGAAGGGATATAGTGCAACTTAAAAACAACTATAAACTGGATGTTAGTAAGGTTGTCCTATACAAAGAACTATTTTAAGAGGTGCATTTAATGTCTTTCAAAGCTTAAAATGGGAATATAATACTAATTACTTAAAAAAACTTATCATAGATACAAGCACATTGTATTTAAATATAGCATCTACAACTGGTTATTTTGTAGTATCAATATCATCCTAGACAATAACAATTAAAATTTATTTCTAACTAGAAAACACATTCCAAAATTTCTTTGATGATTTCTTTAAAAATGCTGCCTCTAGTCATGAACAACATAAGAAATCTTCGTATGTAAAAGAATTTACCCTTAGAAAAAGATAGACATAAATTGAGCCATCCAGAACCAGCATGAGGTTTAGAAAGAACACATGCATTAAAGAAGTAAGCAAGGCAGAAAAACTCACAAAAAAAAAATAGGTATCCAAGTGTCAGATAGATATAACCCAAAAGAAACCAGAAAGTATGGAAACATATATAATAATCAGAAGAAAAGAAAATATTGAAAGGTAAATATTTACAGAATCCACAGAGAAAAACACAGAAGTCATAGACTTGCTCTTACTTAGCAAAATCACTAGTTTTAATGGTTTATACTTTTTCTCCTAAAAAGTTAAGATATTGGAGTTTGATGTTATTTCTTTGAATATACAGTGGATATCTTCTCTATATATTGAGTTGGGAAAGTCATGCCACATTTTTGCATAGAAAAACAAAATATGCATGACTTTTCCAATGACCTAATATTGTATTTATTCCATAGAATGATGGAATTATTAGATAAATTTAATTACAACTGTAGACCAAAACTTACACCTGAAATAAAAAGTAATTTGTTTGTTTTGTTATAACAACCAGAAATGTTTGTTTTAATTGAACTCATTTTTAATCACTTCAGAGAACATACCGTAGAAACTGTTAATATTAGATCATAGCATTTTGGAAAAATGTGTTTTCACTCATCACTTCAAAGGTAAAATTTTGCTTAATGAGACTTAAAATACCCCAAACTTTCCAATATGTTGCTTAAGAAAAAGCAATTACCACACTGTCTCCAAAGAAATAGATGCTAGTCATCTCTCAGTACGTGGGAATGCCTTAGGACTGAATTTAATTAATTACCTAAAACCTACTATCAAAACCTGAAATGGATATGTTTTTCCCCTAAAAACTAGACATCAAATAAGATTGTTTCTTTTCTTCTCTTCCACTTATAATAATATTATTATTATTTTACAAAAGAAGTTTTACATACAAAAAGATGTATTTTGACTTGTGTAAAAATAAAAGTAGGGCTGGCCCATGGCATGGTCATTAAGACAGCTGAATCCCACATGACCAACTATGCAGTTTAAATCTTGGATCCAGAGTCATGGGAACATATGCACGTGTGAATGAGAAGAGGTGAAGGGAGAAGGGACCGAGATTGTGGTATGGCCTTTCCCCCCAGGGGGTGACTTCTCACTTTCCCTCTCTGTCTGTGTCTCTCTCCAGCAAGTATATTCTCCCTATCTCAAATATCAAATAAATACAAATTAAAAAGAATATGAAGAAAGATTTAGGGTGTCAGAATTCAGTCAGGATAGACAGGCTATGAATGTATAAATACCTTGTACTCAGATGAAGAGAGAATGCACGAGAGATAGTAGAAAAAAGAAGGAAGAGTGTTGCAGTGTGTTAGCATGCCATTGTGGACAGCTGTTTGTGTCTTGAGCTCCTGCCATTTAATTTTGTTTTCCCTAGGTCATTTGGGCACACCTTACTGGTGGAAGCCTACCTGAAGGTGCAGGGCCCGCAGGTTTTCTGGAAGTGGCAGAGGGATGTGGTCCAAGTTGTTATCCGTGAGGTAGAGATGATGGAGATCATACATATCCTGTAAACATTGCAAATAGAGGGACTTAATAGAATTTATTGGGGTTACTGATGTATTTTCTATTCCCTCTGCATGTGACTATAATATTTGTAAAAGACCATGCCTTTCCAGATCTCATTAGGTAAAGTTGAAGAAGATTTTCTGACTTACTACACAATTAAGGTGAATTTTGAAAAACTGGCTGTGGAAAAAATATTTCTTTCATAAAACTGAATAGTGTTTCTCAGTCTCTAAAAAGAACCTCATTTTGTTCAGTTCAACTTTCCCAACTTCAGAAAGGTAGCTATTTCCCATGGGAGACATTCTACAGTGAGATTATAAGGATTTTGGTGAGACATAGCAAGAATTTCCTTTGTTTTATAGGTATAAACAGATGAAGATTTCTCACTAACAAGAGCTAGGTAGCCCACTTACTAGGAAAGAGGAAGCACAATTAGACAGAAGGCATTTAAGCAATAATTTATGTACTCTAACCAAACACCCCAGAACAACTGTGTTGGACACCCAGACCAACAAACGCTGGGACTAGACTGGCCCTTGCCAGACTATAATGAGTTCCCTAAACATCTTACCTACCATTGATGATGTCATGGAAAACCTAACAGAGAGGCAGGCCTTTTTCTAGTTCCTGGTGGAAACAAGGTCATACCATGCCTATGACCTCCCTGGGATAATGTGATATTCCACCAATGAGTATTTGAAAACTATTTCTTGAACATTATTTAGAAGAGCAGCTTACATGGAATAACAGTGGTTAAGAAAGCTGGCTGACTACTATTCTCAGACTTTATACTGTTGTTCCAAGCAAGTCTCTAGACCCACACTTGGTTTCTTCACTTAGCAAACAAAATCCCTAAGGTTATCTAAATCCATCCTCCATACAGAGTCATTTACAAATTTCTGTCCTCAAGATACCACCCATACTCTACCCAAGTACTTATCCCTTTAACCACGTAAAATCCTCTTCTCAAGTGGCATTCTTGGTAAATACAAATGATCTGGCTCACATCTCTTCTGGTGTGTTCCTTATAGATGGGTACTTCCTTACAGATGAGTATCTTATAGATAAGTAGCCACTGACTTCTCAGTCCAACACTGCTTTCTGTTTTTGCTGCTGATGCTTGACCATTGTTACAATATACCAGAGTATAGTATTTCTCAAAAGTATGAAGAAATGGGTGTGAGGGACCAGCAGTTAGCGTAATGGCTATGTTGCTGGACTCCCATGTAGTCGACCACAGTTCGCCTTCTGGACCCGGTGGCTTAAAACTCATGCCAGGTGCGTGTGCGTGCATGCCCAAGATCCCAAGAGGAGAATGGAGAAGAAGGGATTGCAGCATGGCCATCCCCCCCGGGGGGTGATTTCTCACTTTCTGTCTCTCTGTCTGTCTGGTGAGCGCACGCGCCATATAGCCAAAACCTCTCCCCAAAAAAAGAAAAGAAATGGGTGAGAAATTTACTTTTGAAGTTAAAAATCTCATTAAATCTTATTATAAAAATACAAAGGAGGGATCAACAGGTGGCAGGATGGTTGGAGTGTTGGACTTCCACATGGCTGACCACAGTTTGAATTCAGACCTGGTGGCTTGAAAATCATGTCAGGAATATATGCATGCATGCCAAAGATACCAAGAGAATGGAGGAGAAGGGATTGTGGTATGGCCATCCTCCCTAGGGGATGATTTCTCACTTCCTCTCTCTCTCCCTGGTGAGTGCATGCACCTCTTAGCAAAAACCTAAATAAATAAATAAATAAATAAGTAAAAGAGAGAGAAAGAAAAAATAAAATAAAAATAGGAAATGGAACAGGAATACAAAAATATTTCATATCAAACTTAGGGCTTACTTTAAATGCTTCTTGCTTTATCCCTTTCTTTCCAAGTCTGTTATGGCTAATATCGATAAACATCAAAGTGGTTGGCAGTTCTGGGAGCTGCCTTATTTTGTTGTCACGCAGGACAAGTTCTCGAAGTTGTGGCAGCTTTTGGAATGCATCTTCATCAATTTCAGATATTAAATTTGAGGTCAGATCAATCCTTCTTAAATCATCTAAGAGAAAAATATAAAGGAAGTAGTTAACTATCCTGGAATATGTTTTACATATATTTACATAAAATGTGAATATGTTTTTCTGTATATAGGATATACAAATGTGAATTTAATTAGAAAAGAGCAGTTAATGAAATAATTATCTTTCAACTATTTTATAGAAAAAGTTTCCCCAAACTATTCTTATTTATACACATACACGAATTAGTAACTTTAGCAAAAAAATTGGCACATCGTATTTAATATTTAACTGGTCTTTTCTCTACAGTCTTCATAAACTTATTTTATATTTTGCTACTCAAATATTTTCCTTCATGAAGTAAGTGTTATATTTTCTAGTAGTTGACTATAACAGATATTAAAAAGAAATCTTCAGATAATTAAAACACTTCATGAAGACAAGTACCAAAATTCTTCTACGTTGGCAAGAAGTATAAAGTTAGAATTTAAGCTTGTTTTCATCAATCGTAAAGCAACTATGCTTTAATAGACGCTTATTCAAAAAAGCTAAATCCTCATAAATATGTGACCATAACATTTTGCTCTTCATGTCATAACATAATAATGAATTCTAGCATGTAAACTAATATTATTTTGATTTGTATTTTGTTGAAAATATTTCATTTGAAACTATTAACTACATAGTTTCAGAATGACCATTAATCACTCATTTTTTATCACTATTAAAGCAAACAAATATATGTTAATAAGAAAAAGCAACTGATTTATGAGCCATATTTTGGCATTTAAATTTTATGCTCAGTACCAACATTTTACACTGTAAAAATTTTCAAGAAGTCTATGAAGAAGAAAGAGACTTTAATGTCATTCATACTTAGGCTTGCAAAGTCATTTTTGTTGATCTTTTTAATTTTGTTAAAGCGGGAATAGAAATAAGCAGTGTTCTTGGGAAGTGCAGGAATAGCATCAAGTTCATGGTCATCACAGTATACGGTGGTACTTATACAAGTACACAGCAGGCAGGTTGGAAAGTCTAAAAAACACAGATAAACGATTATATGCCAGTAGCAGAAACAATGTCTAAGAAATAAAGTAGTAAGCAATGTTTGGCAAACAAGATTAAACTTTCATACAGACCACCCCAGTGTATTACATATTTTCTCATATTGTTTTATGTATATGGACTATTAAAGTCTAATATATCAACTAAATCTGCTCCAACAATTATTATATTCTTTGTAACTATTTTATTTTATTTTATTTTTTGAGAGGGCGTGTGCACTCGCCAGAAAGAGAGAGAGACAGAGAGGCAGAAAGCAAGAAATCACCCCCCAGGGGGGGATGGCCACGGCTCAATCCCTTCTCCATTCTCTTATCGGGATCTTGGGCACACACGCACATGTGCCCGGTGTGGGTTTAAGCCACCAGGTCTGGAACTCGAACCGTGGTCGACTACATGGGAGTCCAGCTACATAACTATTAAGCTAACTGCTGGTCCCCTTTGTAACATTTTAAGATATGCATTTTAAATTACCGAGTGGCTGTAGCATGGTCACTACTTTTATTCTTATTAACGTTTTTCTTCCATAACGTACATATTATGATTATGCTTTTTATAGGGTTAAACTATCACTTATGCAATTTGTATTAGATCTTGGGTTCAATATCTAAACATTCCTCTGAAACAAAATTTGCTTCAAGGAAAAGAAAATGTAGTAAACGCTTGGGGGGATGGCCACGGCTCAATCCCTTCTCCATTCTCTTATCGGGATCTTGGGCACACACGCACATGTGCCCGGTGTGGGTTTAAGCCACCAGGTCTGGAACTCGAACCGTGGTCGACTACATGGGAGTCCAGCTACATAACTATTAAGCTAACTGCTGGTCCCCTTTGTAACATTTTAAGATATGCATTTTAAATTACCGAGTGGCTGTAGCATGGTCACTACTTTTATTCTTATTAACGTTTTTCTTCCATAACGTACATATTATGATTATGCTTTTTATAGGGTTAAACTATCACTTATGCAATTTGTATTAGATCTTGGGTTCAATATCTAAACATTCCTCTGAAACAAAATTTGCTTCAAGGAAAAGAAAATGTAGTAAACGCTTATATTCATTCGGTGGGCAGATACTACTGAGTTCTATGTAAATGACATGGTGGTGACCACAGAGACACACAGTTCTGTTTTATGATCTGCTATGTGAGATGAGTTGAATCCACAAATAAATGACATTATGACTGTGCTAAGTGCCATGAAGGATATGAGCTTAAACAAGGATATCTAGCCTAGTCTGAGTATCGCGGAAGACCTACATAGGTCTATTGCTATCATTAAATGAGAAAGTCATTTGCAATAGCAACTTCAGGAATGAAAACTATTTAAAAAATGGAAAGCCAAGAACAAAAGTTTTAAGAAGAGCTGTAAAATATTTAACACTTGCTAGTTTCATCAATCCTTATAATATTTTTCTTTCATCATAAAATTTTTAAAAGGCAAGAGTATGTGATTCCTCTCTATCATCCTGGCCTTGCTAATTTACCTATAATTGTTTATTGTAATTTATATATATATATATATATATATAAATAATTTATACACACATACGTATGTATATACATAAACATATATACATGTAAGTACACATATATACATGCTTGTGAATTGTATGATTATATATTAAATACATATATAATACATATGCACACACATCAATTATAATTTAATTGTAGTTATTCCACTCACAACTCCAGCCTACATTATATGGATTCAGAGTATTATTTTCAGAAATTTCTATTAGTGGGACGAGTGGGTTGCATAGTAGTTAAGGCTACCACATGGCCAACTGTGGTTCAAGTTCCAGAACCAGAAGATTGGAACTAACACTGGTCACATGTGCCTTGTGCCCAAAATACCAGGAGGAGAATGGGAGAGAAAAGCCAGTGAGAAGGCCATCTCCCCTGGGGGGTGATTTCTCACTTTCTGTCTCTCTCTCTCATTCTGGTGAATAAATGAATGAATGTTAAGCAAAATAATTATTTTTAAAAAATTTAAGAGCCAGGGGCCAGTAGGTGGCATGGTGATTAAGAGCACTGGACTCCCACATGGCTGACTGTGGTTCAAGTCCTGGATTTGGCAGCTTGCTTTCTCACTTCCTCTCTCTCTCCTCCTCACTGGTCAAATTAAAATAAATAAATTAATTAAAGAAATACAAGCTAAATAAAATAATTCTTTAAAAAATTTTAAGAGCCAAAATTCCTGTATAAACTCTATCAGTAATAGAATATTGCATTTACTGTATTTGAATATTGTATTACTGTATTTACTTTGGGCCTGGCATTATATTCATTTCTTTAATCCTGATAACTCTACAAGGGAATCTGCAAGAAGTTCATGAATATGAATTTGTGTGCTATGTGAAATGTGTACCATGAAAAAATTATTCATCGATTTCTAAATTTTGGCACCCAAATAAACTGATCCTTTAATTTCTTTTTTTTTTTTTTGTGAACATTTGGAAGTCTAATTGTATAAGGTAAGTTTTCATATTTATTATCCTGTTTTCTAGATGAGGAAACTAAGGCACAAAGATAGTGGATGCCTTGGTCTAGACTTCCAGGAAGTCACAGTGCCAGGATTTGAATGCACAAGTTTCCGCCATTCTGTCTCTGTGAGACAGTCAGTTTTGGCCCATGTGCCCTGTTCTTAGCTTTGCTTTATGGTATGCTGTTCTTCCCTGTCTATCTCCCAGTATTTTCGTACAGACTTCTCATAATATCTGTAACACATGATTACCCCTAAATTTGTTTGTCTGTCTCCCTGGACTAGACAGAAGTATCTGGGACAGCAGTGGCCATTAAAAATAAGTTTTCTGTCTACAGGACTTGGAACACAGAGACACTCAATACTAATGAAATTGCTGGTGTGAATGCTCCTCATTTTGTCTGCAATCCCTTAGGACATCAGTCTGTGTGTATGTACAAGTATTCTCGTGTGAGTTCTCTTAATTCCCCCAAGGCGGGCACTGGCAGATCCCACCAAGAAACACAGACAAATCGTAGAATCCTACTGAACATAGGAACCCCTTCTCAGTAACTGAAAGGCTCTGGTTTAGATCATCTTTAGTCTTCATACAAAATGGTGCTAGATGTTTTGAAAATTTTCCTATTTTTTTTTTCCACTTTCTGCTTCCTAGGATTGAATATAGAGAAGAATCTTAGTTTTTAATACACAGGCAAGGATACAAACCAGCTGTCTTTAAACCCAGTGTACTAGCAACTGTGTAATCCCTGGCAAATTGCCGCCCCTCTTGGGGTCCAGTTTCCTTGGTGATAATGAAAATAGTAATATGAACACCCTCACAGGGATGTTGTAATAGATGAGATAATGGGAAGGGTTGGACATTACAGCCTGAAGGTAGTAACTGCTCAGTTAAGGTAAAATACTGCTATTACTGTTACTGTTACTATTACTGGTACTGGTACTGTTACCATTTCTATTACCATCAGCAGCACCATCACCATTATCACCTTGAACCCTCGTGGCCCTGTCTCAGAGGCATAGATTTCATCTTGCTAATCAAATACCATTTGTCCTAGAAATGTATTCCTCCACAAGCTTTAGAGTTGATGCCAGCCAAATATTTCCATTCCAAATATTTGGTTATTTGATCCTTTCCTCATACCCAATTATTAAAACAGCTTTATAAAACAATACAAAATCCATGTGTAACTCCCACTTCAAACCTAGTCTCTTCCAAAATGTTCTTCTTGGGTCATGTAGGTTCCTGGTGGAGTTGGAACTTGGCAGTTTTGAGAGACAGGCCAGTGGAGTCAATTATAATTCAGTTTTGAGGTTCCTGACCTTCATTGGTGTGCGGGCCCAGTACCCCTGTGAATTCAGGCTCCTGTGGGGAAGAGCCATCAATCAGTCTGGGGGTGGATTCCTCCTCTTCCTCCTCTTCCTGGGCGTCCTCTGTCTGCGGAGGTGGAGTGAGGAGCTCTTTGTTCCCGGAAGGCATCACTGTCACTATCTCAATCTGAAAAAAAGCAGTTTCATCATGCAACCTTCTCAACCTGTCAGTGATCGAAATTTAAAATGTATTCCCCTTGACCACCAGAGGGCACTGCTGTTCTGAAGTTCAACACGGATGGCCTGCTTGTTTAAGAGCACAGAGGGTTCTAAATTGTTTTAATCAATTAATTTTGTATCTTCAATCTTAGAAAATGTTTCTAAAGCTTTACTTATGTTTTCTGGGGGTGGCAGTCCTTCTTGCTCTCTCAACTCTTACATGTTTTCATTTCATGGGTTTAAAAAACCTCACTTATTGTTTTCTAATAATAGCATTATAAGAAGGCATTATTATTGTGAAAGTTTCAAATTAATTAAGAAATGTGCAGAATAAAGTCCAAAAAGTATCCTTTATCTTCTACCTCTAATTCCACTCCACTTGAAGATAATAAAGGATAAGAAATTGATGTGCGTTTTCTTGTCCTTTCAATCTTGCTTTCCTAGATTCAAATATTCTGTTCCTTAGCAATGACTTATATTTCCCTTAATGGCATTTTACTGAAAGGTAATACATGCTACCAACATAAAAATATATAGCGATATAAAGAACGATATGATGTGAAGCTCCAGCCTGGTGGCACCTTCAGTAGCAAACTGAGCTGCAAGTCAATGGCTACCCTTATTTGGACCCCCCTGCTGGCTACTTCTACACAGGGCCAAGATTTTGAAGAGCTAGAGGGCTGGGAGAAGGGAATTTCAGTGCGTAAGACCCTGTCAAAGATGCGCCTCTCTCTTTCTCTCATTCATGTGTACCCACTCTCTATCATAAATGAATAACTTTAAAAACTATTATTATTTGATTGTAATATGCCATTTCTCATGTATTTTCAATATCATTTGGATAGTCAGTATTCCCAGCAATATTTGGGTATGTTAAAATTTACCTTTCTGAGAGCTTTAGCAATAGGAGGCATTTCTGAAATTACAAAAATATTCAGAGTTTTTTTTTTTTAAGATCTACAGAAACACACATATATATATTACATTTATTCATTCAATTCTTCTAGGAGAAGGTGAGACAGAGAGACAGAGAGAGGAAGAGAGAGAGAGGACAGGCTTTCAGTACATGATTCTCCACCCTCCCCTACCCTCAGTTTTATCAAACCCAAATCACAGGCTCATTTGTGCAAACCTGGCATACACAGGAAAGCCCGGGATGCAAACCCAAGACCTTCTTGTGTGAGTCAAATTACATTACTGCTATGCCACTATCTGGCCCTAGAGGTTATATTTAAGATTTCACTTGCTCTCTCTCTTCTTACTCACATATTTTAAATAATAAGTTGTTGCTCTTAAGAATTCTATTTGCATTTAGAGCAAACCCTCATGTTCGACTTTCATTATCTCATTGTCTGTTTCTCTGTATTACTTGGTAAGTGCCTACCTCCCTGAGAAGCTTGTTAGTTTGGACTGGAAATAAGACAACAGGAACCACTTTCTCTCATCTAGTGTCCTCATGGCATCCCCAGATACTCCAGACTCTCCCTTGACATGCCAACGTGGCCTCTTGCTCCTTTCTACTTTTTTTCCCTTTATTTGCTTTCATTAAAAAAGCAAAGAAACACAGCACACAAATTACTTTTTAAATTACTTAATACCAAGTGACGTGCTAGTACTTTCATCTATAAAATAGGTACCTAGTTAGACCAGTTATTTTCTGGATGTTTTAGCTATCGTAAGGTTTTAAAGATTTATGTATGATGTAGCGTCTCTTTTGATAGACTTGAGTATATTATACTATAAATGAAAATTATCCTTTTTAAAACACATTAAACTTCTAGCAGTTAACATTTCTGAGCTATGCCTCCTTTTCTGTTGCAGCTTTTCTATATTGCTTGGGTTCCATTAGTTTTCTGTGTATGCAAGCCTCCTAGATGGTAAGGTCTAAGCTATGTGTTTGTTCTTTGTACCACTAGGCTATAGTATAATAGTCAGTCAACAAGTACTTATCGAAGAATATTTTTTAAATTACCTGTCTGAAATATATTTGATTCACAGCTCTATGCTAAACTTTAAGAATTTTACTGAGAAGAATCAATCAATGTGCTAATGCTTATTTTTTTTTAAGCATTTAAACATGAAAGGTCTGCAGGTGGAGTAGTGGTTAAGGCTCTGGACTCCCACATGGCTGACTGTGGTTTGAGTACCAGACCTGGTGTCTTGCTTTCTCGCTTTCCCCTTCTCTCTGTGTCTCTCTCTGGTCAAAATAAAAGATATTAGTAACAAATGGAATTAAATAAATTTAAAACACAAAAACCGAAATCAGATTATATTGTATCTGATATATTAGGAGCCATATATGAAGATACTATAAAGCTTGACCAGAAATTTCCAGCCGAGAAGATTGGGCACATTTCCTTTAACACAGAGACATACGGTTTCCATCTGTAGGGTCAGAACGAAGCAGATTCAGAAGGAACGGATTTACAGAGAGACCAAAAGGAGGCTCTGGGAAGAGCAAAAAAAGAGACAGATGTTTGACGGAACGGAGGCAGCCTAGAGGGAGAAACACATTCCAGACACGTTGCCTTGATTCTTTAACTTTGTAGAAAAAATGTTTGCACGTACTTTTTTATGGATAATTGTTTTTCCACTGATTTGATGGGAGCTGTAAGACCTCACTTGTCATCCGCTATAATGAGGCAAAACAGCTTTTGTGTTTATTAGAAACTGTTTTGCTCTTGCTTACTTGGGAAGAAAATGCGAATGCTGAATAACTTTGAAAACCAAGGAGAAGGAATGGCTTCTCTGCTCAGCAAAATCGCAGAATTGTAACCTCAAAGTACTGTGTCTTTGGAGAGCTTTCTGCATGATCGACACATTTATCCTCAGCGTTAAACAGAAGTGATATAGGCTTCTGTCTTTTTCTCTCTTTTCACAGTCTTAATCCTGTGATAAGAAGTTGTGGGGTAATGTCTGCGAATAAATGAGACAGGGGAAACCTGACCACCTGGCTCTCCATGTGGCAGAGTTTTATGCTTATGCTGCAGAAACCCAAATTTGGACCTAAACACAAATGGCTAGAAAACTCCCCTGTTCCTTTTTCTCAAGCTGTAATTGGTACCACTTGAATGCAAATATCATATAACCATTCATTCTTTGGACTTTTTCTCCATTGTTTTTCCTTTACCTTATTTTACTCTGACTTATTTCCTTCTAAATCACCTTTAAATCTGTTTGTTATATGTCCTTAGACTTAACACCATTAGACATAAGTTCATTTTTCATTGCCAAGAATGTCTTTGATCTCAGTCATTTGCACATCTTCTTGATCTAGAATCAGCCTGGTATGTCTTTGAGTTGATCGGTTTATAGTAACTTACCTATTTCTATTCTCATATTTACCTGGCCTTAGAACGAGATCATTTATGTCATGGTAGACTGCGTAGAAGTGAGTACATTCTGTGTCCATGAAAGAGTATATCTGAACCAAAAATGACACATCCATAGCCTGCGCACAGTGACCTGGGTCGAGTGCATTCTCAGCAGATGTCAGTCCAGCGTGAAAACTTCTGAGAAAAGGAATCCTTCAGCCTGCCTCAGCCTCTGCACCCCAGCCTCTGCACAACCCTGGCTTGGTATAAACTACTGAGCTCCTCAATTCAACTGCAGGGGAGAGGGGCTGAAATGATCCGGAGTGTTTCAGACTAAGTTCTGCACTATGCAGAAAATAAGGACTTTGGGTAGAAAATAGTCCAGTTATATTTCATGTATCAAATTGTACTGAGACTTTTACCAGATATATTTATATTCTTATTAATAATACTTCAAAAGTCCTAGCCCCAGTGGTGCAGTTGGTAACATAATAAACTGCAGTGCTGGAGACCACATGTGTTTGGATCCCTGGACTGGGTAACTTGAAACAAACTAGGCACGCCTTGCATGTCCAAGGCCTTGAAGAACTGCAGGGCTGAGAGAAGGGATTGTGGCATAACCAGACTTTGTTGGGGCGCTTCTCTCTGTGTCTCTCTGTCTCTCATGTGTATGCACACACTGTCATGAATAAAATGAAATAAACTTAAAAAATTAAATAACACTGTAAAAGATTTAAGACTACTATTTTTCAATAATTGGCAGTTGTCTATAAAAGAATCTCTATGAAATTACTAAGCACCATCTTAAGTGACAATAACACATAGTTGAAAATAATTTTGATCAGGGCCTGCAGGTGGCCTAAGTGGTTAAGGTGCTGGACTCGCACATAGTCAACCACAGTTTGAGTTCAGACCTGGTAGCTTGAAACTCATGCCAGGTGCGTGTGCATGCGTGTCCCAAATCAGGTGGGAATGGAGGGGAAAGGTTTGCAGCATGGCCATCCTCCTCCCACTGAGTGATGTCTCACTTTCTCTCTCTGTCTCTCTGGCAAATGCTTGCACCCTATCAAAAATCTCTCTAAAAAATGTTATCAAGTGTATTAGTTCCTTCGCAAAAAGTGCATCTAAATGGTCCGTTCTAACTTATTGCTAGCATTTAGCCTACTGAAATTATTTGTCGTAATTTCAGAGTAGAAGTATGAAAAACTAGTGGGTTCAGAAACAGCAATCACACTTATTCCTGATTCACTCATTTGTCCCTGAGTCCCTTCAGTGGCACTTCCTGAAGGATAGACTGGTCGTCCCTGTGTATGATGGTCACAGACCATTGCTGCCACTCACCCTTGTATTTGAAGTAATAAAATTCCATCTGTTTATTTTTTTTTTACAACATTTCTCTCAGCATGTAATCTGCAGCTAAGTTTTCAATGAAGAACTCAACAAAAATGTAATATAACTGTGATAGGAAAAAAAACTATTAGAAAGGAATTCAGTTTACCAGATTTGAATCTTACCTTCATGAATAATGAAAGGATCTGTGAGTTAATAAGTGAATTTATAAATTACAGGAGGTTTCCCAGTCTTTTCTTTTTTTAATTGTCAGAGGGTGCATGAGCTCATCAGAGATAGGTAGAGACAGAGAGATAGAGGGAGA